AAGAGAAGGAGAGAGAAAGGAAGAGAAAGAAAGAAAGTGAGTTGTAGAGAATGATAGACAGATAATGTAGAGAGACAAATTAAAAGAGAAAGAGAGAGAGAGAGAAAGTGTGTGTGTGTGTGTACGTGTGTTTGTGTGTGTGTATGTGTGTGTGTGTGTGTGGTTGTGTGTGTGTATGTGTGTGTGTGTGTGTGAGAGAGAGAGAGAGAGATAGATGGCAAGAGATAGTGAGGGCGGGGGGTATGTGTGTGTGCGTGAGAGTGAGAGAGATGAAGGAGACAGAAACATATAGATAGATAGATAGATAAATAGAGAGAGAAAGAGAAAAAAAGAGAGAGAGAGAGAAAGAGAGAGAGAGAGAGAGAAAGAGAGAGAGAGAGAGAGAGAGAGAGAGAGAGATAGAGAGAGATAGAGAGAGAGTAAAGAAATAACACCCAGCCATCCCCATACACACATGTCATAAAGCACACTGAGTCCGGACATATTATTTTTAACATGAAATTCATTCTATGGAGAACATCATTCTGATTTGTGTACTCGGCAGAGATAATCTCCTTGTGAACTTGTCGCACTCGGAACTCCGGATAAAATTCCAGGAGGCGAGTGTGAGGGGCTGGACGACTAAGCAGCCACAACTCTTAAATTGGCAGGAGCCAAGCGTTGCTAGACGAAACGTTCCCCAGGGTAGGTCATAAGAGGTGTTATTTTAATTATTTTTTTGTGGGTTTTTTCCTGTTTTTTTCCTCTTCTTTTTCGTTTTGGAAGAAATTTTGTTTTTGATTATTTTGTTTTTTGCTTTTTGCGTTAGTTGCTCCTTTTGTTTTTTTTGCTTTTGTCTTTTCGTGTTTTTCGTTGTTTTTTTTTCTTTTGTTTTTTTTTTTCTCTTGATTTCCTTTTTTTTCGAGGAAGGGGCGGGTTCACCTCACCTCCTCCTCCTCCTCCTCCACCTCCTCCTCTTCTTCTTCTTCTTCTTCTTCTTCTTCTTCTTCTTCTTCTTCTTCTTCTTCTTCTTTAAATAAAATCCCAATCTTTTCAAATAATTCCCTCCCCCCTCCCCACCTCTCTGTCCCGCACAACTCAAAACTTTTGCTTTCGCCACATTTTCCTGACAGATTGAGACAATAGGCGACGCCTACTGCGTAGCCGGAGGCCTTCATAGGCGGAGTGCCTATCACGCTCAACAAATAGCCTGGATGGCTGTGAAGATGATGGCAGCCGCTGAAAATGAGAAGTCACATGACGGGAACGTTATCAAGGTCAGTGCTGTTGGCTAGCTAAGTTGGTGGGTGAGTGGGAGAGTGTGTCTGTGTGTCTGTGTGTTGGGGCGGAGGAGAGGGGGTGTAGTGCCGCGTTGTGTGTGTGTGTGAGTAAGG